AATTCGGGTCTGGATTTTTACAGAATCGCAGGGCAGAACTGATATTGAAATCTCACTTGTATTCTCTTAATAATTTTAACAAACACACTAAAAGAACTTTCTAAGATTATTTAACACAAATTTTAATTTAAACGAAAGCAGTTCGTTGAGGACGTGGTGCGCTGGCGACATGACCATAGACCCAATCTGCCTCACGATACTGCCCGCCCCACTCCCATCGAAACAACGCTCTGCTAGAGGGCACTACAAAGTTGCCAGCTCCGCTCTGGTATAGTAAGGCGTGATGCACCGTCATGCTTATTAAAATAGAAAAGAGTACCTACAGTATTTACGCATGAAATTATATATTTTATGCTTTTCTCATACGAAAAAGAATTTCTAAAATCGGTCCAGTATTAAGTATAAGTGCCTATTCAATTTAAAGAATCAAACCTTTTCAAAGAATCAAATAGATAGTACTCCAGGTTCTTTGGTAATAGAGTTGTTAAAACCGACTAAAATACATTAACAACTTAAGACTAATTGCTAAGAAAATTACCGTGTTAATTGATGCGTTATTTTAATAACGCGCTTAGTAATCTTAGTTATCAAGCAGTACAAAATCTCGTAGCACGTTATTTATTACATGTCGATCTTTGAACGATATGGAGTATCTGAGAACAACGAAAAAAACACAACACCCAGACCCGACACAATATATAAAAGTTCATTTTCTACATTGACCCGACCGGGGATCGAACCCGGGACCTCAGAGATAGCGACACCTTGCAACCGGCGTGCGAACCACTCGGCTACGGAGGTCGTTATCTACTATAGTTTTAATTTTAAAACTTAATCGACATTTAATTATGTAATATTAATAAACAAGCAAATAAATATAAATATTTTTCACTTGGCAACTATATGAAACATAAAATTAAATAAGAGAACTCGCATTCCCGCTGACACCGAGAACGGGCCTATTTCGCCGCGTCGCCGCTGCTCTCCCCACCGCCACCGCTGGCGTCCAGAACGAGGCTTAACGACGTTCATAACCCGTTTGAAAAATTAATTAATTTAAGTTGTCCATTTACTTTATAGATAAAGGCATTTGAAAGATACCAGATACATCTGAAATCATTAACGAAACAAGAGTCTGCTTTTTAATTTTCCATATTACTTCTCGAAATTTTGAGTATCCAGTGAAACTTTATCCAAAGGTTTTATAAATGGCATTTTAAAGCCATTTGATTTTTTTTTTTATTAAAATTTGTTAACACATATTTTAACGATCGTCTATTTAAACAATTCAAAAGAATTTGTAATCTTAATTTCAAAATAAGTTTTTCGTATTCCCTTTTATTTTTAATAATATATAACCATAATTTTAACTTCACCGTTATCTTTCACTTGGAAATCTAAATAAAAAACAAAATGGCGTACCAACTGATATGAACCTTTTTTGAAGTGGATCAAAAATTATCAGTTTAATAATTGTAATGACTTTTTATTACTCTATAATTAGATAAAATGACTCCATAAAGAATCATTACAATGTAACTGTAGTCGTTCAAAAATATTAGATACCTAAAAAATTATATGATTCCACGTTTCTATATTTAGGTATAAAAATATAAGTAAGATACATTCATCGCTCCCATTCGACGCTTAAAGCTCACTTAACTTTTCGTCACAGTTTAGTATATCCGACATATACTAAACTGTGATGTCACAGATTAATGAGCTCCGACTGTCTTACCGAGATATTAAACGAATCACAGAAAAAAACTTTGAAATATTTACTTCTGAACGTCTTGTATTACGATATAAACACAGAAAAAAATAAGATTCATTAACACCAGATTAATAGAAAATGCTTTTCATCACCATCACCAGCCCTTTTACGTCCCCACTGCTGGAGCTCAGGCCTTCCTTATGGATGGTTAAAGAGGATGGGCAATGACCCTCCACGCTGGCCCAATGCGGATTTGAGGGTATTAACGACTGCAAATGCAGCTGGGACCAACGGCTTAACGTGCCTTCCGAAGCACGGAGTAGCTTAAGATAATTTTTTTTTGGTCACCCATCCCGTGACCGACCCTTGCGAAAGTTGCTTAACGACTACGATCGCGGGCCGCGGCGCTTATCCACTACGCCACTGAGCTACTCTATGCTTTTAATCCACTTAATAGTTTCCAAATCACGTTTTTGAAATCTAGTAAATAATAAAGACTCTTCACTTCGTCTTTTGAATGGATCCCTATAATTTTTAATTAATAATCACGAAGGGAAATTCTATTAGGAAACTTTCAGTCTCTATAATAACTTCGTGAGACATAAAATGGACTTCATTATAATTTCAAAGAACATCTCTATTATTGAACGTCGAAAAGAATATTTTGTCGAAAAAAACTTTGGTAATTACCGGTTAAGTTGTTTAACTTTGTAGGGCATCATATATTTTGAATTTGAATTAGCAATCAATATAATTGTACCTCCCAACATTAATGATTACTTGAATATCAGTTTAGGATAATATTATAATACGTTCAAGAAAAAATGTCGTTTTATTAATGTAAAATGCTTAAAAATCCACTTGGTCTCTGGCACCCTGAGATACTTCCTTTCGTAATCCGGGTGACTGTTCTAACCGCTGAGCTACCGAGGACTTAACAGGACTGACGAATCTTTCAAGCACTTGTTACTTTTTCACTACTACAGAGCGTATTCTCATCAATGTTCAGGCAATCCACCCAAAGCCGAAAGAAATATTTTTACTAATATTTAAGCTTTCGATAAAAATTTGTTTTATTTTTTTTATTCTTAATGAAAAATGGGTTCGAATCCTATCTCAGTGCCAGGGACCAAGTGGATTTTTTAAGAATATTTTTCAATATAGAGTGATCAAATATAATGAATAACGTTTCTTTTTTTTTGAAATAACTAAACAATAATTTTTAGAAAAACATTTTCACAGAAAGATTTTTTAACAGAAAAATTCTCAAGACGATAAAATTTACGTATTAAAAATATTAGATACGTTTTTTTACTTCAATTTAAACAAGAACTTACATATTAGATATTAAAGTTGAGAGTGAGGGCTGGCTACGTCACAGTTTTGTAGAAAATTAACTTACAAAAGCGTGACGTCATGCGACTTTTCAACTCAATATTTCGTTGTAATTTATTGACTACGCAAGAAATAAAAAGTATTTGTTTAATATTCTTAGATAATTTTCCTGGCTAAATCATTTCGCAAAAGCACTAAAACCTGAAACAATTCAAAAGACCATAAAATCGTTCAGAGCAAAAAAATTACAGCATTATCTTGCGGTTGCGTCGTTTAGTAGTCAATTTGATCATAACCAATGCTCAGTTAGATAGCTAACGGTCACTTATTTCAGTCATTAAACGCGTAATGGTCTATTACCATTCTCAATTAACGATTTGGTAACATAATTTATAGACGCTAAAATAGTATAAGTAGAAAAAGATAAATTATGAAATTTTCAACAACGTTAATTAGTTCTTCGTGTGGAAATCGGGTGATACGTCATAGGTACGAGTATTATATATCAAAATAAGTTTTAATTGGCTCACATTAGGGTGAGAATATAATACAGGCACATCTCACTCTCGACCAGTTCTTAATCTTCTCGAGAGTTTCTCGAGATTCTCGAGCTTCTCGAGTCTCTCGAGTTGCTACGCGGGTAGGATGCAGTAAAGTCTGCACTAATATTATATAGAGGAAAAAAATATTGTCTGTTTACATTGAATAGTTTCCGAAGCTTCTAAACCGATTCTAACTTACACCTACAGGAAGCTTCATCATACGCTGTTACTGTTGATATACTTTACTTGAGCAAAGCCGCGGATGAACAACTAATAGTCAAATAAAATTTGAAGTTATACTGATCTAAAATTTTTTTAATGAAAGTATTTTAATGGCATTATATTAAGATAAAACAAAATAATTAACAAGATAAATTGAGAACTTCCTTAATTTGAAGTCGGTTAAAAATACTCAACTGAAGTAACAAAAGTACAAATGAAGTATATAAAAAGGCATAGTCGTAAAAGCATTATTTTCATACAAATTTTAATCTTAGAACTTTTTGCGAGATAACTTATAACACTACAAATAATTTCACTCTATTATATAATTAACATAAATCGATTGTTTTATTATACGCTATAAACAAACCATAAATTTCGAATTTCTTGAGTAAGCTACTCTGAAATTCAAATTGACGTCTTTACTATGATAAACAATCCTATCTATACACAAATTCGACTTCCGTCGGTTTATTTTCGGTAATCTTGAGAATGTAATCGGAATTTTTACTGGATCTTCTATTATAACATGAAATTGCTTTCATATTTTCAGTTGTTACAAGAAAATACCAGATTTTGAAAGACAAGAAATACTTGACGTTTCAAATTCCGTGTAAATAAGATATTGCTTTAAATCTTGTCCATTTTATATGTTACTTTTTACTTTATTAAAGATTAATAAAGTTCTCGAAATCAATTTTGAATATCAAAATCAATTTGAAAAAAGTACAGCAAATTTGAAAGAAACAAGTGTTTTCGCCCTCGTAAATTAATGCCTGTCATATGATGTAGCTGTAGGTGAAAAACTTCTTATAGTAGGTCCAGTAGTTTTGGAAACTATTCAAAGCAAACATACAAATCTTCCCTCTTAATAATATTAGTATAGAAAACCAATAGAAATCAGGCAACAGGTCGCTAACATGTACAAGTCTATTGTGGAAGACTTTAAAAACCTCTTATGAATCATACGCGGGATGGAAACTGTAATCAATCCCGTATTAAATCGATTGGGCGGTCTATATATAATTTAAATTATAGTCTGATTTTCTGATCTATAGGGGAAGCCTATACCCCAGCGCTGAGCGTGTGGATAATAATAATATAGCTCGACACTGCTGCGTCATAATCCCTCTTATAAATCGCAAACTTTTTACATTTTCTAATTGCATTCTCTTAATTGTCCACAGATATGATACCCGCTATGTAACACGATCACAGACTAAACATGCCCGAGCTCGCCCAAAGATAATATAAAACCAAAATGGCGCACGACAAAGATTGGACAGACTATTTCGGAGATTTTCCCAATCGGACCAGACTCGAAGACGAACCAGCGAAAAACTTCAGCTACTACGACAATTTGGGCGAAGAATACACAAACTTCACATCTGACGACTTCTGTTCATCGAATCGTTCCCATGTTTATCTGAATGTCACATGCGAATTCCCGATCAATTATGCTGAACCTATGTATGGGTGAGTACTAATTTACATTGTTTACATTCGCCGTGAAAATAGACATATAAAAGTAAGTATAACTCGTACGAATTAACATGCCACTTGAGGGCCTATAACTATTTATTCTAGAACGAAAATTCAGAAAATTTCAAATCGGTCCCACCTTCGTTGGATCATAGAATATCGTGTGTTTCTTTGGATTCATATTTGTCACTAGGCTTTTATGTTCGCACTGCTGAGGCTTAGACCTCCCCTATGGTTAGAATCTAATCGGATAGGAACCCATGACAAACCACACGAACCCACTGCGCATTAGTGGGTGTTAACGTCTGCAGATGCAGCCGGAACCAACGGCGTAACGTATCTTCTAGAGCACAGAGGAGATCTGGATAATGTATTGGGATATTTTGGTCACCCTTCCCGTGACCGGTCATTTCGAAAGTTGCTTAACAACGATCACGGGCCGTGGTACTTATCCTCTACGCAAACGAGCTTGTAACTTGCTGACGTAGTAATGTTAGCGTTTCGAGAATATATCCTATAAAGAGAAACAAAGTAGCTCTTCCGATATTCCCAAAAACAAAATAATATTTAAACTTAAAATGTAATATTTAAACAATATTAAAAGGAATCTGTTGAATCGTAGTTCACGTTGGCAGCAATTTAGATAACGAGCTGAAATTTCTATAGAGAGTCGAGACATTAGAAAAAAATGGGCTAAAGCGTGAGAAAAAAATCGTCCGAAGATCGTTTTACACCCATTTACTTTATCTAAACGAGACGATGGAAAGGGGTATCCTTTTATTTTCTCACAGATAATGCGAAGAGGTCCTTTCATTAAGGTTTCACTTGATCTAAAGATTTACATAGATGTCATACTTTGTAAACGACTGCCCAAGAATACAATAACACTCCATATTTTGGCTAGGGTTAATGTATTATACAAGAATGTACATATGTCAGCTTTTATATTCCATTATAGGTTTTGAAAAACTTCATGAGTATGAATGTATAGGATATCAATAGAAGAGTTACATCATCCCGAGTGACACTGGTTATATGGTTATATAGAATATATTTTTTTAAATATTCATTAAGCCGGATGTATGATGCTATTTAAAAATATATTTAAAAAATTCTTATAGTATTAATCTTAATATATCCAAAACTATGTACCTATCTTACAAATATAGTTGGTCCTCATTAAGGCAAAATTATCTTGCTGCCATTATTAAATTATTATTAAAAGATCATACTTTTATCTCTATTAATAATATATTGATCTATTTTTGTTAATATTATTATTTCTTAGTTAGAACTGGGGAGATTCTTGACCGTTTTTCTTATCAACTAAAAGACGTCCTGAGTGGTAAGTGTAAGTTTTACGCTAATGCGTTCACTAGTGAGCGATTTGTATGGAGATTTTTACTTCTTGGTAGTTACCGCTAGGGGCGCTGTACCGGATTCCATACTAAAATCTTAACGCGCTCACGATCGACAATGAATGTAAACGTCAAAAAAACTTACACTAAGCGCTCTGAACGTAGGGAAAAAATGTTGGACGCTATAAAAGTACTTTTGACTCATGAATAAAATTATAATTAAGACAATGTTTTCAGATACATCGCGCCGTTCTTGCTCGCAACAACAATAGTCGCCAACACCCTCATAGTAGTGGTCCTCTCCCGTCGCCACATGAGGACTCCTACCAACATTGTCCTGATGGCTATGGCGCTATGTGATATGTTCACAATGCTGTTCCCTGCACCGTGGCTCTTCTACATGTACACCTTCGGGAACCATTACAAGCCCCTCAGTCCAGTAAGAGCGTGCCAAGCCTGGAACTACATGAACGAAGTAAGTTGATTTTATGTTATTTATGTTATATATATTGTTATATTATGTTATATATGTGTGTGTGTGTATGTATGTATGTATATATATATATATATATATATATATATATATATATATATATATATATATATATTTAATTTAATATATGTAAGTCCACTGTATTTTCAAATATCGTACCTTTTTGTTTATTTCGTATATGGTGTATGTTTATATCCATTTTTTGTTATTTCGGTACTGTATATTTATATATTTTTTTTTGTATTTTTTTTTCTAATGCGAAATTTTTAGTTTACGGCGCTTTGGCGTCTTATGCTCCTCAGGGTTATGGCAGAATATCAGGGATTTGTCTCCTTGTAGGCAAATCGTATCCGGAGCCTTGACCCTTTTGCATTGCTGCAGCACACAACCCGACATATTTCTTGTTTTTAATTTTATTACTGTTGCTTTCTGGTTTATTTGTTTTGTTTGTTTTAGTATATTTAATCTTAAACAGTTATAATTTGAATGTGTTGTTGGAAATGCAAATAAAGTTTATTATTATTACATCTAAAATAATAATGACCTTTTCTGTCGGTTGCAAACAAATACTTATGGGCAGTAAAAATAAAAAAAAAGATTTATTAATTTTGCATTCACCGTCTCTATACTGTAAAATATTCTTGCATTGTGACTGCAAAAATAAGAACAAATTTATAAAACTATTACTTTCAGCTGTTTGGGTGGATTACCTGAACATTGATGAAAATACGCTGACTAGCAGCGAAAAGTAACGAATGCTTGAAAAATTCGTCAATCCTGTTGGGTCTTGGGTAGCTCAGTGGTTAGAGCAGTCGTCCGAATTGCGAAAGATCGTGAGTTTGTGTTCCCATCTCTGAGTACTTGAAGCTGATGGATTTTTTAAGCAAAAATATTTACCAAATCTATATATGTATATATAACTCAAAGGTGACTACTGACATAGTGATCTATCAACGCACAGCCCAAAACACTGAACGGATCGGGCTCAAATTTGGCATGCAGGTAGATATTATGACTAAGAGAGGATTTTGATAAATTCCACCCCTTAGGAGATAAAATAGGGGATGGAACTTTTTTTCAGGTATTTAACACGATATAATGAATAAATTCGTTAGAAATGCTTCTCAAAGTAACTTTACCACGCGGACGACATCGCGGGCAAATGTTAGTCATTAATAATTGCTTGTGTGACAAAATTTTACTTAATTTGTTAAAAAGTTTGCATTGCGAATTATATATTTTTAAGTAGAAGTAAATTATAGAAATAATTAATGTCGCATACATACACGGCTTGTTGTCTAATTGAAATGAAATGAAAATATATTTATTCAAGTAGGCTATTACAAGCACTTTTGAATCGTCCAAAAAATTTTTTCCCCTGCCACTTGTTCAGGACGTCTTTTAGCTGACAAGAAGAACAAGCGAAAGAAACTTACCAGCTTTTTATCATAAGTAATGACATTTACATAAATCATGTCATTACCAAAATAATATGTATTATCACAATAATAAATAGAACTTTCAAAGTCTGTAGGACAAAGGTTGAACATATAATTAGTCTTTATAGAACAAAGCGAAGGCTATTAATTCCATGCATTGCGATCCTTAAAATAATCATCAACTTTATAATAGCCTTTACTCATAAGTATATTCCTTACATGAATTTGAAATTTATTTATGGGTAGGTCAATTACATTTTGTGGAACTTTATTGAACATAGCAATACATTTACCCAGAAATGATCCTCTGGCTTTTGAAGTCTGAAGCTTGGAACGGGAAGTTTATTTTTTTTTTTGTGTTAAGATTATGAACACTACTTTTTTTGTGAAGGAATCGTAATGTTTTCTTGTGTACATAATATTCTCATAGATGTATTGAGAAGCAACAGTCAGAATAGTTATTTCTTTAAATATTTCTCTGAGAGATTCTCTAGACCGTAAATTATATATAGCACCTAGAATATGAATTGATTTGCGAGTTCACCAATATTTATGTGTTTTCAGAGACCATTTATTAAATTTTAAATTTAACTGCACATATATAATATATTAAGTGTTCTGATACAACTCTTCAAATTTTAGATGCATTTAAAAATAAGCGTGTTTATAGAAGCAAGGAGTAGCAATTACAACTCCATCCAATAAAAAATTATACACGGCTGTTCCTCAGTTTACCACGAGATGTTAAATTTCTGCAATGGATTTTGACCTCTACTTTCGTTAAATTAAAGTTTAAAATCGAGTGGGGAAATTTAACGAGTTAATTTCCTAATATTATGATGGAAAATTATTTCATATTCTAGGTACAATATCTCCCGCCATGGATTTACGGACCGATGGCACAGAGTTTCGATTTTTACGAGTGCTTGTAAAAGCCTAGACTGAAAAAAATATTTTTATTTGATAAATCTATTCTTAGTAAGGAGATCTGTTATATCCCTTAGACCAGATATTTGAATTTTGATTAAAAAAAATAATGGTGCTCGTTAAAGTTGTCGAGTGTGCAAGTATTTAATTAACTGCATAAATAAATCATAAAACTGTGTATCATTGTAAAAATCTGAGACAAAAAAGGAAAACTGTCGTAGGTAAAACAAACCAGATGTAACCTCGGACCGTGTACGTTCCATCTTAGACAGAGCAGCTTAAAATTGAGATAAACACTTTTATTACTTATAATTTGTTTATTTTCCGTTGAATTATTATCATTTGAAATAATTGGATAAACATTTGAAATAATTGGACAATTATTAGAGTTATTAGTAACAATATTCAATTAAAAGTAGTGTTTTGTTTTAAAAAAGCCTCACCGATCTTTTTACAAATTTTGGTAAAAATCTGCAATATCATAAAATATTAAAAGTTTGCATATATGTATATGTATGTAGTCATAATTTTTTCATTAGATACCTGATTTAAATTAGTGACCAAAGCTGTAAAACCAAAACTTAAGATGTACCTTGGCCAGTGACCGTGGTACATCGTAAATTGGATGGTTAAGGTACAACATCGCGACAACTTCATTTAATAAACTTTAAAAACCCACTTCCAATTTAGGTTAAGATCCGATACTTATGCCGTCTTGTAGCTAGATATACTAAGATTAAATTCTAAATAAAATAGTTTTGACTTGGACATAAAGTAAACCACCAAAAACTTACTTTTCCGTGTTAAATAATAAATTACCTTTTAACTGTGCTCGCATGGCGCGGGTTTATCGTAGCTAACTTCACGTTAATGTTAAAAATGACGTAAATGTTTGTTTTAGGAATAATATGTAGAATAAATGTTAGGAATAAATGTTTAAGTATAATTGTTTTAGGAATAACTGTGTCCAAGGTATCATAGGGATACAACAAAGTCGCGTCCCGCTGTCTGTATGCTTATATCTCTTAGACAGAGTGTTTCAAGAGGTAACTTTATATGTATGCTACAGGACCACGAGGCCAAAGCCGCTGACGGAAAACTATGTGTATATATTGTAACAGAACCGATAACCTATTTTACTATTTTATCTAAAAACAATTCACATTACGCAGATGTCAAAGTACTACTTGTAATTGCTACCAATTTTAATGACAAGGGATAAATTAATATAATGTAAATAATATCTCCAATCAATTATGTTCGAACTCCTATACCGAAAGTCGATCTTTTCATTATATTTCCCACTGATAGGGTAGATATTAGAAAACCGTATCTCCCATCGGACTCCACGGTAAACTTCGTTTCGAACGTGTATTGGATATCTTTACTATCGCATAAAAGCGAGATTGTGTTTATGACGAAATTACTTTGAAATGAATATCCTGCTATGATATCGTAGCGTGGTGATAGCGTAAGGAAGTTTTGTAATCATCTGGAGGGTAGCCATTTTCTCTGGAAAATTCTAGCTGAAAAGCTAAGGCAAAATATGGCATCACGAAATTAGCTTAGCCAAAAAAAATATACACCTTAAATCAATGCTTACAACAGACTATGCATGTAAAGAGAATTTAAATACTATATGTATGTATACAGATTAAAAATCATCACGATAATTAACCAAAAAGTCTATATAACCGACGTAAATAACTTTTTTTCTGTTATTGCAGACAACCTGCATTATCTATAGAGTATTAATATCAGTGTTATGGCCTTCTTATTTTTTGGCACATTAAGACTATGTTTGTACAGCCACACCACCCTTATTTTTCTATTTTTCATTTAAATCCATATGTAAAGTAATTGACACAACAATCAATCGAATGAAAACTCTAATACTATAAATATTTCCTCGCCTGTCCTATGGACGAAACTACTACTACTACTATAAATATTTACAAAGTTCCACTATCAAGTGTTGTATTATTTGGAAAAAATCTATTATTACTAATATGGTATTTGCTTGTTTAAATAATAATTGATTTATTAAACGTTCATTGCTCGAGGAAATTCTTAATTTTTAATGTCACAAAATAGAAATTGAAAAATAAAATGTCATAAAGCATTCCAAATTCCAATATTTTTATATTTCTTAAGTTCAGGATAATGATACACGTATTGTAGCAAGAGACACGCAATATTTTATTTGACATCAAAGAAACTAGACGCTCCTAGACGAAAAATATGGGAACATTTCAACCTTTCAAGAGCTGAAATATGCTATCATAACAAACACCTTACCGCAGATAATGTTTGTGTTAAAATACTATTACCATATATATTGCATGAAAAGGTTTACCCAATATCATATCACAGTATCACCGAGTGACATTTAATGCTGTTTTTCCTTTTGCGTTGATTTACTGACAGCCACGTCGCGCGCAAATTTAAAGGGGCATCATCATCTTCTTCTTCCTTATAAATGGTTGATGACGATGATCCATAACCCTCCACGCTGACCCAATGCGTATTGGAGAGATTTAACGAATGCAAATGACTCCGAAAGACGGAGTAGCTCGAGATAATATATTTTTTGGTTTGGTGTGAATAAAATTTTCA